GGAGATGAAAGCAGAAGGGGCGGTAGCCGCGTAGGGTCAGCTTCAGGGAAAGGAGGCACGATGGCTCGTCGAGGCTGGGTGAGGACGTGACTTCCCGAGCCGGCAACACGAAAAGGGATACGAGCACGTGTAGGCGTAAGGGGAATACACCAGAATTCAAGCACATCTTGAATTCTTTTGTAAATTCGGACTTACTTCGGACTTGGATCTTGCTTCGCATCAGTCTATGCTGGAAGGAGCTCGGTGATAGAAAATGTTCTAAATTTCGGTAGCTGCAACGCAGGAACCTCTCTTTAGAACTTACTTGTTCCGTGCCCAATCTCAAAATATTAATTAAATCAAAACCAATAAAACTAACGCCTTTCTCCCTACCTTAACGCTCCTTGGTTTCTGCAGCCGAGGGTGCGGCACGGCCAGCTCACTTGAGCGAGTTGGACGGCAGAGAGTTTTTTCCGCTCACATCTGCTGCGAGGGAGGGTCTCGTAGTCGTCCTACGTTGTCGGACTTGTTACTCAGTGGTAGAATAGTATCAGAAATAAGGAGCGCTAAATTCCTGCCAGGTAAGATAAACCAAGGCAATATTCTGTTCTGATTTAAATCACGGGAAACCTGTTCTCATATTGGCAGTTAAAACACTGCTGCTTTGTTTCTTCAGATTTGCGGGCCAGGAGTTTCCACCTTTACTTGTGTTTAAGATCTTCCGCAGCCCTCAAGGCCAAGGCAGCAAATACATTAGTGGGAAAAGAGTAAGTTCGTCAAACGAGGTGACTTACTTCACCTTCATGTGCCATCATCTTCTGCTCAGTTACTAGGATCTTGGTGCTTGTTATTTTTAACATCTTGTAAGGTATTTATCCTCGTACTTAGTCTTGGTCACATGACAACAGATTTCAAATACAACCAAGTACCTTGCTTTTACTGAATACTGTTAATTTTTAGGTAGCAGTGAAAAGTTACCTTGAAGCTTAAGATGCAAAGATACTTGAAAGCATTTGTCTGTAGTCTTTGTTCAGATTAACTGCTACGTATGGAAAATGCAGGTTCCACAGGCTGTGCCATACAGTTGCCATCACAGTTCTGTTGGGAGGCCACTCCGTCAGGACTTGGGGTGAAGGGGTGATTCAGGCTGCCTAACTTTTGAAACCCCGCAGGAGCCTCTGCTGCCTCGGCATGGACTGGACGTAGACTCCACCAGAGGGTTCACAGCACCCGAATTCTGCTTGGAAGTACACTCTATCACCTCCTCCTTTTCCCTGGCACTGGGAGAGAAGCCTACGCTCCTAATTTAGACACCTAAGAACACCAAGAAAATAACGTGGATCCTCTCTTCATGAGTTTTTTCAGGTCCCAAAAAATAGTATAGTCATTTAAAACAGTTAATATTGATTTTAGAATATGAAGAATAGCACCCTATTAGTCCTGGAAAATGTTATAAAAAAGAATTTTTACATAAAAGGTAAAGCACGTGAAGAACACGGTAGCAAATCGTTCATCAGGAAGGGTATTGTGGGAAGAGAGACGAGATATGCACCCTCTTATAATCTTAAATTTTCTTTGTGATGATAATTTTCGTGGTTCCCTCTTAAAGAAAATTCTTACATCTCTGTTGCAGTCTCTTTATAGACCTGATAGAACCAGCTATAGCAGGAACAAGTATTTTCCAGACGAATGGGGATGTTTAACCATTGCATCGCAGAATTGGGCGATGCTTCTCAACAAGCCATTTGTAAAATCAGCAGGCAGTCCCTCTTGTTTGTTGGCACATTGGATTATTGTCAGGAGCAATTTGAGGTGAAATAAGAAGACTTCAGGTTTGTACCTTTTCTTTTTA